GAAAGTTGATGTTTCCCTTCCTGCCACATGTCCCATGTGGGTCAGCAGAGGAACCGTACTCATCCTCATCACAGGGAGACCGAGGCTGATGGAGGCTCTATCCAGTGCTCTCGTGACCTCAGAGGCAGAGAAAAGGAGAGAGGGATGAAACGTTGCATTGACAACAAAATGCTCTACCTGGAAACAAGCATCCCTTCTTTCACATTTCATCAGCCAAAGCAAGTGACATGGCCATGCCTAGCGGAAGACAAGGAATATATGTGAACAGCCCTAATGACAATCACACGAGGCTAGGATTTCTCAGTATCAGAAGTGCCTAAGAGATGAGCAGATGTCAGCAGTGGGGTGAGGGAGGGGGGCCAGATAGATCTGCCTCAAAAGTGCTAGATTTTTACAGGGAATGAAAAAAAAATAATGGTATGGAAGGAGGCCTGGGCAGCGAAGATGGCAGCTGGCATTAGAGTCATGGGATATGGAAGGATGAGGGGCAGCTGCCCAGGAGTAAGTCTCTGGGGAGAGCCCAGATCTCAGTTGAGACCAGCGGTACAGTGGAGGCCCAGAAGAAGACTGTATGAGCCAGGTCTTGCCTCCAGCGTTTTACAAGCCCTATTTGTAGTCCTCACAACAACCCAGGGGGATGAGAGTTAAAGTCCCATCCTCATTTTTAGAGAAAAAAAACCACAAGTTCCAAAGGGCCCCCACCAGTCAAAGGTGCACAGCAAGTTAGAGGCAGTGTGAGGACTGACTCCACTGCAGCGCCTCGGGGAACCCCGAATTCCTCCCCCTCCTCTCCGCCCTGCACTCAGGCCCCAGTGGAGCCCTGGACCTCAGACCACTCGCCCTCTCCTGCCCAGGCACCAGTGGGACAAGGGAGGCCTGGGCCGGGGCTTCTTCCCAGAAGCTGCCTGGCTTCTCAGCAGTGCCATCCAGTCACCACATGAGGTCCCTGTGCCTGAGGCTGAAGGCGCAAGCACAGACCAGTGGACACCAGGGCTTGGATTCCACATTTTCTCTGTGAAATGGAGTGAGATCACCTGCTGAGAGGAGAGGAGGAAGTTGCGGGGGGGGGGAAAGATTGGAGAGGTGAGAAGGTGTGAACCCCCTTTGAGAGGAGCGGAAGAAAGCGGGCCGGGGAAACAGAGGCTGGCATGGTTCCACTGCTGCTCACCATCTCCTTCCTGTGAGCCTCCCCCTCACCCCTACATGTTCTCAAGTCTTTCTTCCCTGGACTCCAGGCCCCACTCCAGCTACTCTGCCCCAGCTCTCTCATGCCTGCCCTCCACCCCAGGGAGAATCCGTTCTCGATAGCATGGAAAGCATACGTGAATTCTCTGAAGGGCCAGCCACCTGCCCTCCCCAGCCTGCCATAGGGCCCAAGGCCCACCCGTCACTCACACATCACCGCCACCAGGCCTCCCACAGCTGCTCTGGAGTTCACAGAGCATTTATGCTTTTGCAGAGAGTCAGGACGGGGCAGACACCCACCGCCCTTCACAGACGAAGGGCAGAGCCCAAGAGCAACCCTGGCAAGTGGCAGGGCCACCGACCCCGGTTACATCTGACCCAGAGCCTCAGGAGGGCTTGGGCTGCTGTCTGTTGCCACTGAAGCCTGACCCAAGCCTCGCTACTCCCCATCCAGGGTTCCATCCTCTCCCCAGGGCTCAGGACCTGGAGCCCAGGCTCGGTCCTAGAGACTCTCAGGGACAGACCATTGAAGGCAGGATGGCCTCAAAAGGCAGACCAGTCAGAGATGAGCATGAGTGGAGAGAAACAGGAAGAGGAAGAGTCAGGGGAGGACAAGGGGCGACTGAGGAGGGAGCAGACCAGGGCTGCATGGCATGGGGCTCATCACGGCCATCTGCTCAGGAGAACCTGGTCCAGAGAGAGATTTATCAGCTCACCATCTTCCAGAGAAGGAAGACTGGGGCTCAGACAGGTGATGCTGCTCCCGATGTCACGTGGTGAGGGTCAGGGCAGGGATTTAAAATCAAGCCCCCACACTCAAGAAGTGTTGGTTTCCTATGGAAAGAGAATCTGGGCCTCTTTGCTACCTAGCAGTCCTCGAACCTGTGTTGAGGTTGGGGTTGGGGTTAGGGTTAGAGTCAACCTCAGCAGACATAGCCCCCAATCCCATCACAGCCTCAGCCACTCTAGGGACCTTCCCTGTTTGTAGATGAGAAAACTGATGTCTGGAGCAGGGAAGAGCTTGGCTTAAGGCCAGGGCTGGGATTCCTGAACCCTCGGCAGAGCCACCTGCAGCACTCCACCCATTCCTCCTCTACCACATGCCTGAGTTCACCTGCCGGCTCTCCCTTTTTAGGAAAGGAAAAGAGCAGCCCTGGTGGTGGACAGGTGGACGGGCAGGAAGCCACGCTAATCCACCAGCTCCCGATGGCTCTGGTTACCGTGGTTTGGGGCCCGGGTGGCCCCAGCTGGGAGTGCCAGCCCAGCCAATGGGTGCTGCTGCTGAGCTACTCTGCCAGAGCCATACAAGGCTTTGCTGCAGCCCGGTCCCCAGCCAGCGCAGGGCAGCCCCAGCGTCGGCACCCGCCCCGCCTGCGAGCCTGCCAGCCTGGCACGTCCTCAGACTCTGCCTAATCCAACCTGGAAGGGCTGTGTTGCACGTGCACCAGGCTCAGGGTTCCCCAAGGTCAGGAAGGTAGCACTGCCA